ATCTCCTGAGGCTTCCCCACTCTGGACGTAGTTCACATGCACACGCAGGCCTTGGCCCCTGGTGGTGGCAGGCCGTGTGCCTCCTCCACCTTCGCCTCTCCAACACCTGGCACAGTGCTTTGGTCTGTGCTCAGTGGGTGTTTGTGGAAGGCACCCACAAAGGCTGGGGCACCCACAAAGGCTGGAGCGGAAACCCTGGCCTACCACGACGGTGAGAGTGAAGGCACCGAGAACATCACAACCCAACCCTGAGTTAGGAGATCTTGTCCGAGGTATGCTGTCCCAGAGCCCCACGCTGGGCTTCCCTTGCGGGTCTCGGCAGCTGTAGGGAATCCAAGAGCAGGGCCACCAGAAGCCATTTTTTTTTTCTAAATAAAGTACTTGATGTCCGAGATTTCAAAATGTCTTCACATGGTCATCACAGGAAAATTCACAACTGTGTTGGACTTTTTCTTGCTTTATAGTTTGGAACGATTCTTATTTTAATTACATTCTGCAAGACCTGGAGGGTGGGGCTTCAGCCTCCAAAGAGCTTCGAACTGTCCCTCCAAGACCTCCCTCTAGCATCCCTTCAGCATCTGAAACTCTCTGGGGGGAGTGAAGATTCTATTCTTTCTCAGTTCTGCCAATTTAAGGCATGATTTCAGAGAAGTCTCTAAGCCATTGTGTGCCTTGCTTCCTGCAATAAGAAGGTGGAAAGAATAACCATTTAGCACCTCATGACTGGTGAGAAATAGCTGGTGGTTAATGAATCAATGCAAAGGATGTTTCAGATACTGTTTTCATTATAATGCCCCATTTTCAACCGGTGAGAACAGAAGAACAGAAGACCCCGGGGTCGTTAGAGGAAGTCATTTCAGTGCCCCAGGGTAGAGAAGCCAACTCTTACCTACCCCCTATGGGGGGGTGTTGGGGGGAAACCTGGAGAGGGAGTACACCGCCCTACAAAAGCCCCTCCACCTCCTCCAAGGTCTCCATGCAGCATCTGAGGCAAGGACGTTCAACAAGCACCCTTTGCAGAGTTGAATGTGTTTTGAATTATTCAATTCCACTGGACTGCCAAGTTGTTACAAATAACCCACCTATGCTCATCATCTCTTTTGGAATTATCCCAGAATGAACTTTTCATTTTTAAAATAGTTTCTCTTACTATTATTTTGAACGTATACGGAGTACCTTTATAGATTTCTTTTGTCTATTGGATGTTCGTATGATTATACTCTGTTCTGTGGAGGGAGATATAATTTGGTTCTGTACCTTCAGAAGGTTATGGTCACTGCAAAATGACCCACCAAGTTTAGAGGCCATTTAAAAGTGTCTCTACAACGTACTGCAAATCCATTTATCCGATAATCATTTATTAAGTGCCCAACTAAGAGCTCTGGTGATGGTGAGAGTTATAAATCCATATAAAATATGGTCCAGGCACTGGTTCTTATTGCTCTCTGCTTCAGTTGACATCCTTCAAAGAGCCGAATGCAGGATTATCTTCACTAGGAGTCTAACTATAACCGCTGTGTTTTGCTCAACATTTCCTGCTTTTGTTGTTTTACTTATTTCAAAATGCAGGACATAAAGGCAGTCCTGAGACAGAGGGACATGTTCCCTTATGTTGCCTCAGCATATCCCTTCAACATTTGGACAGCACAAGGTTTGGAGCCGGGAAGAACAGGTCTATCCCCCTCCTCCCAAGAGACTCACAGTAAATGGAATCCCATGGAGTAGCTTTGACTATTAATCTTAAGCTTTCAGTGAGCTACTAACCCACCGCTTCTCTTTCAAGGCTTCTTTTGACCTATAGATTTGTCCAGCAAACTAAAGCATTTAAGTTCTTTCTTATTTGTTCTGTATTTGCTTCTGGCAAGAACCCAGTAAGGCATTAAGTGTATTAGCCCCACATTGCAAATAAGGAATGACGGAGGCCCAAAGATGATAAGTCACTTGCCAAAAGGTCACCCAGCAGTAAGTGGGAGCCTAAGACCCCAGGCCTTTGGAGATCTCTAGCGCTGCTTGCACCATCACCCACACCCTGCCCTCTCTGACAAGACCATTGTGTTTAGTCCTTCACAGTGACCAATGTCACAAAGTGGATTTAATCATTTCCATGAATGGCCCTTCACCCTTTTCAGAAATATAAGCAGAAAGCTTTAAATTTGGAAGGCGTTTTCCAAAAACCACTTGTAACTTCTTATCTTCTTCAGCTGCACTTTCAACTTAATCTCTGATCTGTTTCTGACTCTGTACAAGGGATTTCTGAATTTGCACAAGCAGATGAGAGAAGCCACCTGCTTCGTGGTAGGTATCTCAAAACTGAAGAGATGCAGGCTTTTAAGAGCACTATTTACATAACAAAATGAGATGGGAGGGGCTGTCTGAGACACCATTTTTCCGTACCCTCCTCGATTTGTTAACAACCCAAAGACCTGAGCTCAAATGTCATCTTCTAAAAAAGTTTTACCCAGTGAAAGAGCAAGTGGTCTCCATGAGATTAAGATAATCAGAGACCTTAAGACAAGAAAGGATAGCTAAAAGTAAAGAAACAATGGATAAACTTGAAATTTTTGCAGTTTTTCCCAATTAAACAATGAAGGAAACAAATGGACCTCTTTAGCCTTAATCTTTCCCTGTTCTTCTTAAGCTGAGAGGTCAATTTAAATTATAAAATACCAAAGTCAATTGTAGAAAACTACCATTATAAGGACACATTTATTGGGAAGACACAGCGCTCCCCCCCCCCATTCCGTGCAAATAGGGCTGCCAGGAGATGATCCATGAAATGCCCACTGCTATGAAAACTTTACCTCGTAATCCCCCACCCACCTGCACTGGGGAGGTCTACCCTGTGGTCAGATTGCATGGAGATTGCCAAGTCAATGCGGGAAGTTCAACTCCTTTTATTCACAGGTGTACATTTTTGTGCCATTGTACGTAGGTGGTTAAAAACGTTCAATCCAACCCCAAACCATCAAAACTGAAAGAAAATCAGTTGCTATTTTAGCATTATGGCAAGGAGATGCAAATTTAAGGGAGAAATTTTCATTAGCACAGTTCCTTGGTGACTAGGTATTAAAACATATTTGAATGCAAGACCCCTCGCCGTTTGGGAAGCTCCACGCTGTACAAGGTGTGAGTTATAGCAGAATTTCCTGCTGTTTTTTAGTCCATTTCTACCCATCAAAAGTTCATGAATATAAATCTGGAAATATTTGAGAAGTGTCACATTTGGAAATTATTCAGGGTCTTGCCATTTTACACATTCTTTCCCTGGAGGTGAACTGCCTGCCCTGCCCTTCATTACCAAGAGCATTTGTTTAATCACAGAATCTTTGTTTCTCAAGAGGTATTTGCTGCTTCTATTTATTCCCCCTAAAGTCACAATCCTTTGTCACAAGACAATCATTTCCACAGCAACCAACTGTGATGTCACAACTGAAGGGAGGAGGAACGTTTAGAAAGAAGAGAGGATGTTCTCTTCCACAAGCAAAGGTTTCTGAGTTCTAAAACGACTGCTTCCCTAATCAAAATATTTTAACGGAGAGACCCCATGATCAAGCTGCATTTCTTTGAGGTCTCAGCTGTGACATACGAAGCATTTCAGAAGTTGAGGGGCTGCATGTTGTGGCTTAGGAATGGGTAGAGATTTTTATTTCATTTCATTCTAATTCTGTGCCAGTGATATCTGCCAGTAAAATACATTAAACATATTCCAGAAAGAGTTGATTTAGCAGATGAAAAATGTGTCTCCTGAGACCAGAGAAGGTACATTTTCTGTCTTACTATCATTTCCATAATAGGAACAATGTTTACATTTCCTCAGCCCATGCAGTGCCTCTAATGTATTCATGTTCTTTCACTCTCCAGAGGCAGGAATTGAGGTATTTGAGATTTTATTTTTTAGCTACCGCATCAAGCACTTAAGATCTGACAATCGTGATGTGTATTCTCACTTGGTATTAAAAAATAAAAGCCTCAGTGTTTGCATTTGATTAGAGTCTCTCAGCTTGGAGGCTGATTAAGCAGGAACAGGGAAAGCAACTTTCTTCAGAAACACAGCATCTTGGTTAATGTAGTGTAAGATTATTGACGGGTGTAGCCACATAATTTTTATTAAATTGATGAGATTAGCTCTGCTGAAGAATCTCACGGTGACAGCAAACTCTAGCCATAATAATGAGTCCCGACACGTCTCAAACCCACGACAAGGCCCCAAATGGTTCTTCTTTCTCTAAATAGTCTTTCAGTTCAAGCAAGGGAAGAGCTTCATTCAAATACTCAGCATATTTACGTGAAATTGAGTGTGCATGGGGTTTGGGGTGGCGTGGTGGTTTTTTTGTTTGTTTGTTTGTTTGAAGGATGATACAAAATCAGCCTAAACATTTGTAATGTGGGCTTTAGCTGTTTTCTTTCACTGTAAATGGCACAAGCTGTCTTTCCTCCAGTTGCCTGAAATGCAAACATAGCTTTTCTCCAGATACAGGCCACAGTGCCCACAAAGAGGTCGTCAGAAAAGACCCTGGAAGCCTGGAGCGTTGTGCCATTTGTTCATTTCCCGGACATAAAACTGTTGCCTCTCCCCCCTCCCCTCCCCACCCCAGACTCAAAGTATCTCCACACTCTGAATTTTATGAGGGGAAGATTGAGAAAAGATGAAGGAGAGGGGGAGGAGGGAATAAATTTTGGAAATGAGAAACTGTCATATTCCATAGACTGAAGCAAAGTCGAAAGAGCATGTTCCTGGGGGGGGGGGGGGAAGCACTTTTTCAGAACACACAGGCGGCCACAAACCAAGGCTGTTTACATACTACCCGGGTGGGCGGGGTGGGGGGGCGGCTTGGGGAGGATTAGTTAGCTGATGTTTGGCACGCTGCGCCCCAAAACAAGTTATGCGGAGGTGCTATTGTCACTCACTGCTGTTATTAATGAACGGGGCGAGCGCCAAGCAAAAATGAGCCCCGCCGTGTGCTTTCGGTTCTTGACACCGTATGCGATGTCTATTGCAGGAGTGATTCGGGAAAGCTACCTCAAAGGCCACGACCAGCTCGTCCCCGTCACCCTCCTGGCCATTGCGGTCATCCTGGCTTTTGTCATGGGGGCCGTCTTCTCGGGCATCATCGTCTACTGCGTCTGCGACCACAGGCGCAAGGACGTGTCCGCGGTGCAGCGCAAGGAGAAGGAGCTCGGCCACTCGCGCCGGGGCTCCATGAGCAGCGTCACCAAGCTCAGCGGCCTCTTCGGGGACACCCAGTCCAAGGACCCGAAGCCGGAGGCCATCCTCACGCCGCTCATGCACAACGGCAAGCTCGCCGCGCCCGGCAACACGGCCAAGATGCTCATCAAGGCGGATCAGCACCACTTGGACCTGGCGGCCTTGCCCACCCCCGAGTCCACCCCGACGCTGCAGCAGAAGCGGAAGCCCAGCCGCGGCAGCCGCGAGTGGGAGAGGAACCAAAACCTCATCAATGCCTGCACCAAGGACATGCCCCCCATGGGCTCCCCTGTGATCCCCACGGACCTGCCCCTGCGGGCCTCCCCCAGCCACATCCCCAGCGTGGTGGTCCTGCCCATCGCGCAGCAGGGCTACCAGCACGAGTACGTGGACCAGCCCAAGATGAGCGAGGTGGCCCAGATGGCGCTGGAGGACCAGGCGGCCACCCTGGAGTATAAGACCATCAAGGAGCATCTCAGCAGCAAGAGTCCCAACCACGGGGTGAACCTGGTGGAGAACCTGGACAGCCTGCCGCCCAAGGTCCCCCAGCGGGAGGCCTCCCTGGGCCCGCCGGGCGCCTCGCTGTCCCAGAACGGCCTGGGCAAGCGGCTGGAGATGCACCACTCCTCCTCCTACGGCCTTGACTATAAGAGGAGCTACCCCACGAACTCGCTCACGAGAAGCCACCAGGCCACCACGCTCAAAAGAAACAATACTAACTGCTCCAATTCCTCCCACCTGTCCAGGAACCAGAGCTTCGGCCGGGGAGACAACCCGCCGCCCGCCCCGCAGAGGGTGGACTCGATCCAGGTGCACGGCGCGCAGCCGGCGGGCCAGGCGGTGACTGTCGCGCGCCAGCCCAGCCTCAACGCCTACAACTCGCTGACGAGGTCGGGGCTGAAGCGCACGCCCTCGCTAAAGCCGGACGTGCCCCCCAAGCCCTCCTTTGCCCCCCTGTCCACCTCCCTGAAGCCCAATGACGCGTGTACATAATGCCAGGGGAGGGGTCAGGTGTCGAAGCCGCGGGAGCGGCCGGGCGCGCCCAGCCGGCGGGGCCCTCCGCTGCCCGAGCCCCCACGGAGCGGAGGACGCCGGCTTCCCGCCCGGGCGCAGCGGGGAGGCGCCGGGCCCCGGGCCCCCGGGCCCCCACGCGGGACTCCCCTCCATTCGCAGGCTCCGCTCTCCCTCACACTGCGCGACGGGTCGGACTCACGAGCGACTTCGGCGATCATCACAAACACGAGCCAAAAGCACACCCCCCGCACCCAGCCACCCGCGCACCCGCGCACACGCGCGCACACACACACACACGCACATACACACCTGAACGGTGACCGCAACCTTCCGTCCGCGACTGTGCGGGGCGCCGCCCAACAGGGCAGCAGCCCCACCTGCACACCACAGATACACTTTTACGAATCATGAAACGCAGAAAGACAAAAACAAAAGTAAAAAGTAAAGAATTCGTTGATAATTCTAACTCAGACTTTAACCGTGGCAGGAGTTTACTATGCGCAGATACTGTGAAACGCCCAGCAGTGTTACGGCTTTTCTGTAAGGTCCGAGCAGACGGTGCCGCGGTGGGCATCCAGGTCGTAGGTCTCTGCTCCTCTCTTTTAATGAAATAACGTGACCGTTAACGCAAGTAACTCTTTATTTATTGTTCACCCTTTTTTCCTTAAGGAGAGGACTCCTCCACACGCCATCCTACCGACGGCTCTTCAGAAAGCCCCTCGAAGGTTAAACTATTTAACGTGAAATCCATTAACTGGAATCATTGAGTTTATTTTTACAATAAATTCACTGAGTAAATAAGCTGGAGCTGGAATTCTGAGCTTTGTGTTTGGACTGTCTGACCTCTGGCTAGAGGAAAAAGTTGCGAGGGGGATGGATATTTATTGAAACCAACCAGTTAATTTGCTGGTCGGGTCTCTGGCCTATAACATGCAAAAAATTAATTAGCTTAAAAGTCCTTCCAGATCCTAACTTCTTAAAGCAACCGGGAGAGGAACGTTTAGAATGACACCTCCCGCGGCCCATTGCTGCCAACGTGGCTTTGTCAGTGGTTCCTACTTTCTGTGAAGGCACCAGCTTGTGAAACCCATCTCATTTCACCTTGCATGTGAGACCGCAAACAAAATCCACTAAAGGTGTGAACTAATTAATATGCTGGCTGCTACCTTGCATAAATTAATGGTTTGCTCACACGGGTTTTTCGTGGGGTTACATCTGTGAATAGCCTCTTTTCCACATGTAAATTTGTGCCTTACACCCTGAGTTGTGTACACTTGTAAACTGTCGTTATGATAAACTTTCCCCCGCCTTTTGAAATAAATGCAGATATTTATTTGACCCTCCCTCCCCCCACCCCCACTCCAGCCCTCTGGAAGATTCTTAGCGTCTAGCAGATGGAAGAAGAATGCAGTGGTGGTGGTGGTGGTGGTGGTGGTTAGAAGCCTGCCCCCTGGGAGAGCTAGGAGCTAGGCAGCAGCACACCCTCCAATTCACACTTCCTTCTACTCGTGCCAACTCCAGCCACCCCTTGGCCATGCCACCAAGCATGGACACCAGTGTTGAGGGTGGCAGTACCCTTTCTCCCTCCGGCGCTCCCTGCTTCCCGGTGTTCTCAGATCATTTCAACATGGTGATAGCCTCATTGGCCAGCAGAGAGGGGACTAACGTCCCAGCCCTCCTTTCTGCCGTGTCCACTGGCTGGAGAGCACGCTGTCTGCGGTTGCCAGACACCTGGAGGGTGTCTCCAGGCCAGGGGCTCGGCACGCACGAGCACTGCACACAAAGACATGACGTGGAAGTAGATGCGGGCAGGCTGGTCCCTGCTGTGATGGATGAGTGACTCCAAGTACAAAGCCAACCACAATGGATGCTGCAAAAAACGTTGCAGACTGGGGCAGAAGATTTGTAATTTCTCAAAAAATTTCTTCATCCCTTTGTTATTATTGTTTGTAAGGGGGCGGGTGGGGCGTGTTTTTTCTCCCCCGGTTGGTTCTCATTAGCTCAAGCACACAGAAGGGACTATTGTTTACTCTATCAGGAACAAAGGACTGTCAACATACTGTAAACAGTGAGCATTGTTTGGGGTTGTTGTGTTTTTTTAACAGTTAAACAGTATATTTGGTGGCCTCTTTGTCTCTTTATTTCCAGTTTGATCTTCTGAGTTTAATCTCGTCTTTAAAAAAAAAAAAAAAACAACTTTCAAAGAAAGACTATTTGGAGCAATTTTGAGTTTGTTAGTGAAAAAGTGGTCTTCCATAATCAGAGTGACACCAGGTGTGTCGCGAGGACAGACTGGTAGCTTTGTGTTCCTGCAAACCTCCCGCGCAGTTTTGCTGTCGTTTGGGGTAGGTTTTTGTTGTTTTGTGTCTTTATGCTTTTATTCTGTTTTGTGAGCAGAATCAATGTTCACATCCTGTGAACTCTGTACCCTGAGACCAACCATGAAGTCTCTTCTAGAAACTGAGATCATTGTTTTTCCCTTCTCCCCGAATGAAGCTTGACCAATACCCCCAAGAGTATTGACCGGCAGCACCCACGCTCTTGTCCCATGGGTGGGCATCATTGCCTCAGCTGTGTTACGGAGACCTGTGTCAAAACTTCCAGCCCGCGTCCCCACCGCCCCTCAACCCATCACTTGCGGTGTTCTTCCTGAAATGCCCACATGTATTGAGCTGGTCTTTTGCATTTAAGTGTTTTCCCCCCTTTTTTTTTTCCCCACTGCGTGTGGGGGGAGGGTCCATAAACCTGAGTGTGCCTTTGCTTTCCACCCTTGCTAGACACTGGTAGATGCAACAAACTCAGATTTATATTTGTTGTAAAGTTGTAAAAATATTGTGATGTCACCAATTTTCCTTCCATCTCCACATCCCCTAACATCTGATTCATGACGTAATGTATGTTGTAAAACAGGAAAAAAAAAAGAAAAGAAAAAAGGAAAAAAAAGACAAAAAAAAAAAGAGCAAGGAAAAGGCTCTTTATTACTTAAAAGTAATAAAACAAGACTGTTCTACATTATCCTTTGTGTCCTGAATGTTTTTATTTATCTCTTAAGTTTTCCCTTTTGAACCCCATCCTTTGGGATTGGAGCCTACTCTTTCCCCATCTTCAGAGCATAAATAACAGGGGGTTAGACCCATTTGTTTGCAGTACTCACACCCTGCCCAGCCCACCCCTACCCCCACCCAAATTATGGATGTATTTTCTCCCTCCACCCAGCCCTGAGCAGAGGTTGTAGCAGAAGCCACCACCGGTAATTAAAAGGCAGAGCACGCATTGACTCCCTCTATTCATTTTATGCATTTTCTTTTTATGGGCTTGTTCATCATCAAACATTTATGGTAGGCTTGATAGTTTAAGAGATCAAGGCTAGGATTTTAGTATGTAGGGTCCACTAAAAATAGATCCCAGCACAGATGTGACCAGCCTTTTTACATATTAATAAGATGGAGGGTGCTGGATTTTACTCCTTGTTAGCATTTCTTTCTTATAACCCAGAAGACACGGTGGGAGGTATATTGGGATGCAGCCCTGGATTTTTATTTTGTAGAATAGCATCACAAGATGTCTAGATAAGGTTTACCCCTCGGAGTATTTTTTTAAACAGTTATTTAAATAAGCCCTCAGCTACATTATTTTACTTGTGACCTTCTGAAATCATTTTTTTTTTAAGTGTTTTCAGCATTCACATGTGGGAAGCTACGGGTTGGGCCTCGGTCAACACCTATAGTGATCCAGTTACCTTTGGGTATTTCCAATTACATTTGTGAATCCCACCCAGAGGGCCTGGCATGTTGGCGCAAAGTTGACTAGAATAAAGTTCCTGGTTCCTCGTTTATAAGAAAAGATGGACGGGCTCTCTGTGATTGCCACTGGGAGTTAGAAGCTAAGTGGCCAAGAGTTTGGGGGCACAAAGCTACATTTGGGCTGGTATTTTTTCTTTTTTTAAAGATTTATTTATTGAAATGCCTGGGTGGCTCAGTGCTTGAGCATCTGCCTTCGGTTCAGGGCATGATCCTGGGGTAGGGATTGAGCCCCGCATCGGGCTCCTATCGGGGAGCCTGCTTCTCCATCTGCCTGTGTCTCTGACTCTCTCTCTGTCATGAATAAATAAATAAAATCTTTAAAAAAATAAAGATTTTTTAAAAATTAAATAAAGATTTATTTATTTATTTATTTATTTATTTATTTATTTATTTATTTATTTATTTGAGAGAGCGAGCACATGCATGGGTGGGCGAGGGGCAGAAGACAAGAGAAAGAGAGAGAGAGAGAGAGAGAGAGAGAGAATCCTCAAGCAGACTCCACGCTGAGCACAGAGACCAAAATGTGGCTCAATCCTAGGACCCTGAGATTATGACCTGAGCCCAAATCAAGAGTTGGACACTGAACTGAGTGAGCTGCCCAGGAGCCCCTGAGCTGGTTCTTTAGAGAATGAGTTCTCTGAACAGCTTTACCAGGATGTCTTGGGCAAAGTTGTCAGGTGCACTGTGCCTGGAAGACAAAAGGTTTATCGGGCCTTGAGCAGGGTCTATGAGAGAACCTCTGGAAAGAAGGCTGGGAATGGGGAGACGAAGAGGAACCTGCTTACCATGTGCTAGGATTTTAGCTGATGGGCACAGAGCACCTTTGGAGTAGATGAAGCAGTAGACACATGTGTTTGTGCTTTAGAAGGCTACCTGGCAGCGATGTGGAAAATGGACGGGTCCAGAGAAAGGCCAGCAGGCAATGTGCCAAACGGCATACCAAGTAGGTAGGAACCCACAAGCAAAAACTCCACGTCTTATTTCAGATTCTTTAGGAAACAGAACCGAATCAGCTCTGTGACCATCCTCCCTTCTGCCAAACCGAAGATCTTCCTCCTCCTTATGCGACTGACAGGTTTGCCTGCGCAGCTCTAGCCAAATGCAATCCAGAAAGAATGGTCTGATTTTCATTTTTTAAAAATGGGGAAGCTAAGATCCATTGAATGAAAGGATTTGCCCACGATCCCAAAGCTGATGGTAAAGCAGCTCTTCCAAGAACAAATTCATTGCCTCTCACCCCCACTCATTTACAACATGAGAGCAAGACTAGCCAGGAAGATGGGACACTCCTTCGTGCAGACAGCATCTCATCTCACTCACTCGGGGAGTCCTTCCTCTGGGGGAAAGCCCTGAGTACATGCCTCCCCCTTCCCTTGTGGGGCATCCCAAAGGCTTTCATCTGGGCTGAGTCAAGCGGGCGGGCTGGAGCCCGAATCTCACTGGTTGGAAGCCAGACAATCCTTGCAGTGTAACCCGATTCCTGTTATGGTAGCTTTTGCTGCAGTCAGCTTTGTTCTGGCTGGTGATGAGGTGACAAGGAGCTGAACAGGTGCAGCCTGCATTTTAGCTGCCCCCCCCCATGCCTTCGCTCAGACTCACAATGTGCCTCAGATAACCCAGCTTTTTAACTGTTGTGATGGATTGCGTGCTTGCTTGAACGCTTGTTGCAGGGTCAGCGGTCTCTGTAGGGTGTTTTGAGACTGCTGGCTAAGTCTCTAAGTCACTAAGGAGTGACTGTCCCAATACAGCTAACAGCCTAGGTGTTCTATGGGGCCGTCGATGGCATCTTAGACCTGCCAGCTTTCCTTAAATGCCGTGTCCAGTAAAAACACAAACAGGTCTCATTGTTCAGCCTTATCATTTGGCAGAAGCCACACCAAGTGCCTCTGAACTACACACCTACTGCATTTGAACTGCCCAGGGCAAAAGTTCTTTCAAAAAAAAAAAAAAAAGTCATTCAGCCAGTCCCATAGAAGTATCTAGAAGGTACCTACAATTTCAGGCACTGGTATGTTTTTGCTTGAGGGACAGGGGTGACAGGGATTTAAAAGAACGCCTTTGTACCAAAATAACACGATTAAGAGCATAATCCTGGTCCTGGCTGAGCACTGTGACAGCTGGGTGCATGCACTTAGTAACCCTTAGAAACCTGCATCTCACGCTTGTCTTAAAATCAGGTGGTGACGTGTCTCTCGCACAGGATTGGGAAAGAAGGGCTCACATTTATTGATTGGGACTGCCAGACAGATGGGGATCTTCAATATTCCATTTAGAGTATTGTGTATCCTTGGCTCTAACCCCCCGGGATGCCGGGAGGTGGGAGGCCGTTGACCTCCACAGAGCGTTGGGCTGCACTGATGTGCATTAAATGTGCCTGGGCAGAAAAATGTGCAGATGGCCCTCTAGCAAATGGAAATGAAATTTGAGCAAATCAAGAGAGGCAGCTGAGTAGGGGAGAGCTCCCCAGCCCCCTTCCGCAAACACATCCACAAACACACACACACGCGCACACAAATGGTATCAAGAGGCTTTCTCCTCTTGGTCTAAGACACAAAATGTCACAGAGGTCAGAATCTGTGTCCTTTTTTAAAAAAAAAAAATTATTCATGAAAAACACAGAGAGGCAGAGACATAGGCAGAGGGGGAAGAAAGCTCCTCATAGGGAGTCCAATGTGAGACTCGATCCCTGAACCAGGATCATGCCCTGACTCAAAGGCAGATGCTCAGCTGCTGAGCTACCCACGTGTCCCCAGAATCTTGTGTCTGCTGAAGGTGGACCCTGTGGAAGTTCTTTTGCCCCTTTTCCAGGTAAAATGTACACCTCCTGGTCGAAAATGAACAGTCATAAAACTATAGCCTCAGTAATACAAGCCAAGACGTAGCAGAGGAGCCCGGACACAGGTCCCTTTCAGCCCCGTTGACAATGACTCAGGTGGCCAGCAACTTTCTTATTCTTGTAATCACTTTTGCATAGAAAACTCTCTTGGGAATCATTAACATCATCCCAGATCAAGTCATTGGTCCTGCTAATGGGCTGTAATAATGGTCCAAATAAGTGGATGCTAATGAAGGGGAAAAATAGGTAACCATGAAATCAGAAGCATTTTTCATTGATGATTTTCAGAAAAAAAACAAAAACAAAAACAAAAACAGAAGAAGGTGACATTGGACATGATACCAAATGCCAGGAAACCAACATGAAAGAACTTCAGGCAGGATTCCCAGGGAGTTCCTCAGATGGGACAGATGTTTAAAATCTGGGTGAGAGCCCAATGCTGTCTTTTCTCCTGTTCATCATGACAAGTGACCTCACCACGTTATGGGGTTCATAAGGACAAGAGCCGATCATGGTGTAGATACTGAACGTTTTGCACGCATAGTGCAAAAGCATGAATTTCAGCAGTAGGGCTAAGGTTTATATCAAAGAAATTAAAAGTGGAACGGTACCACCCAAGAGAGGCGGGGCTTCCAATGGTCAGCAACAAAGATAACTTATCTCCATGGCATTTTACAGTTTGCAGACCTAATCTTATCTGTGATATGGCTTGATCATCGTAACAGCTTCATGGGGAGCCCATGTATGATCATCCTTATTTATTTAAAGATTTTATTTATTTATTCATGAGAGACACACAGAGAGAGGCAGAGGCACAGGCAAGGGAGAAGCAGGCTCCCTGCAGGGAGCCCAATGCGGGACTCGATCCCAGGACCCTGGGATCACGAGCTGAGCTGAAGACAGACATTCAACCACTGAGCCACCCAGGTGCCCTCATCCTCATTTTACAGAGATTGGGATTTGGAGAGAAGGAATCCATTGGATCACTGATCAACATGAGAAGGTAGTACTGTTTCAAAAGCCTGTGTGTTGATGTTATCCCCCTCAGCCCTCTTGGGAACACCTCAGGTTACACAGGTGCTCTGCTTCACCACAGGGGAAAAGCCTCCCACAGCACTTCCCAGGAGAGATAATTACAACAATATAAAGACCCCAAAATAAAGGCTAGGCACATACATTCTATTTTAAGGACATTGTGCTCTAAGACTTTTCCATCATTAAAGAGCACATCTCTTCCTTCCTGTGTCTGCAAAGTCCTGATGCCAGCAGTGTTATTAGGAACTGTCAACAAAGCAAGAAAAGGGAGAACAAAGCCAAATTCAGTGACCTCCCTCCTTGAGACACATCCTGCCACTTCCGGGGCAGTGACACAGACC